GTGCTCGCAGATAGTGATTATGCTGTTTGCGATAGCTGCCGCTGTGTAACCCACCTTAACAAAGAATGCAGTTAGCTGTCTGCATCGGAAATAAGAGCTGTTGTTCTTCAGAACCGTGTTTTAATGTACTTCTGCGATGAGTGCCGCAATGCATTTAAATCTATTCCACTGATGATTAGAAACTTCCAAAGCATACAGGCTGAAATTACATCCCTTAAGGAAACTTTTAACACACTTCAGGAAGAGAATCGCAAAACGAATGAACAAGTTAATTCTTTATTAAAAACGACTGAAACTCTGGAACAGAATCAAGTGACTTCAACTAAAACACTAGAGCAAAAAATTGCCGTACCTATATCAAGTTCCTCAAGCAATACTAACATGACCTGCCTTTCGAACCCGACTGATACTGAGACTTTTTGGCAAAAAATTCAAGACCGTCAATCCAACAATGTCATGCTATTCAACGTGCCTGAAAAAAACGACGATGAAAATGATTTGGCAGCCCAACCAACCCACCTCCAACTTTAGAATGCTTCTCCAGAATTGGGAAAAAAAACAATAAAGGTGCACGGTGCACGAGCAGTAAGAATTACCCTAAAATTTGTAAATGATGTGCAGTCGCTTATACGGTTCCGTAGTAAGCTCAAGGGGAAAAACATTTACATGAACCTTGATCAGACTGCAAAACAGCTTGAAATTGAAAACAAAATACGCTCAGAATTAAAATAACGAGAGTCAGAAGGGTGAATTATCCCTTAAAATTAAATATATTAAGGGCATTCCCCAAATTATCTCTGATAGAGATGAGAAAAACTAGTAGTAGTAAAACTTCACATATATTACCAGAATGTTCAAGGATTAAGAACAAAGTCGACATCACTAGCTTGCAACTCTTCAATAAATTATTACAATTTCATTATGCTTACTGAAACCAATCTATCAAACACCATATATAATTCTGAATTGGGACTAGACAACTACATTGTCTTCACAAAAAACCGATCTACTAAAACCAGCACAAAGAAATCAATGGGAGATTACTGTTCACAAGTCACTGCTTTGCTATGTTGTCCTTATTGGAAGCCACACGTCAACGCTGCTTTGAGGACTGTCGATTAGTTATCGTCATCCTTATGCCTTGTCCAGAGGAGCTTTCCCAACGAGAAGTAATTGCGCTGGACAACGATAAGGCTGAAGATACCCAGAGGGGCTTTCCCAGCGAGAGGTACGTGCACTGAGAAGACTTAATTCCAGAGGGGCTTTTCTAACGAGAGGTAGTTGCACTGGTTTAAGTCTGCCTGTTGCTTGGCTTGGCCCACCATTTATATCCATTTATTGCTGAATTGCAATAAACATCCGATCGAATCGGCAATTAAATTAATAAGGTTGAATACCAGGTCCTCTTTTCCTAAGCAGCTAGTTGACAATATATCATCTTATGCTATTTCAATATCTGACATAATATATTCTGAGCTATCCAACTTAAATAGTTTCAAGGGTCCTGGTCCAGATAAAATTCACCCTAATCTTTTTAAAAACTGCCCTTTTATACATGCGAGACCTCTGCAAATTATATTTAACAAGTCTCTAAGCTCTGGTCAATTCTCAGACGTCTGGAAATCTAGTTATGTCACTCCCATCCATGGGCGCCGGCAGGGGGGGGCAAATCGGGCATTTGCCCCCCCTGGATTCAGAAAGTTGAATTATACAGCAAAATCAAAATATATTTATTTATTATTTATTTATTTATTATAAAATAGTACGACGAGCGAAATTTGATCGTGGCGCCATCTTAGACTAGGATTCAACACTAAATAGCACTTTTGCTGTATTTAGTGATGACCATCTAATAAGCCGACCAAAAATCAGATAGTTGGGAAAACCCAGAATAGGGGAAACAAGTTTTCTCCTATTATCGAGTATTTTGCGTACAGGCCCTAAACTTGGATTGGTTTTCTTTGCTTTCCTAGCCATACTGACGAGACCAGGTCGAAAAATGTCTCAATTTTTTTTAATAAAATATAGAACACTAAAACATATGTCAATAGAAATCCACAAAAGAGCATACATTTCATACATACATAAAAATGACCTTCACATTTGCGAAAATTTACACCGGTGGCGCATGTACATATGGGGACAGGACCCCCCGTGCCTTGCCCCCCCTGTCCCGCTCGCTAGCGGCGCCCATGCTGCCATCCCATCTTCAAGTTTGGAGACACTGGAGACGTGAAGAATTACAGGCCCATCAGTATTATGAGCACAATTCCCAAGATATTTGAAAAATTAGTAACAAATTATTTAATATCAGTACTTTCACCTTTAATCTCAAATAATCAGTTTGGATTTTGTGATGGCCGAAATACAGAACTAAATCTGTTGTCACACTCATCAAATATCATCGAAACCTTTGAAAATTAATTGGAAGTACATACCATTTATACAGAATTTGCAAAGGCCTTCGATAAATTGCCTCACAATATCTTAATCCACAAACTTAAATTAATGGGAATTTCAGGTTCCATGCTTGACTGGATTGAGAGTGACATAACTGGACGTATCCAGATTGTAAAAATAAACAATTCTCTGTTTCATGCAATAAAGATTTTCTCAGGAGTCGCCCAAGGTTCCCATTTAGCACCACTGCTCTTTAATTGCTTTATAAATGATGCCAAATCACGCTTTAAGCACAGTGATCATAAGCTCTTTGCTGATGATATGAAACTTTCAAACGTGATCCCGATACAAGAGACTGCTTCTTGCTACAGCATGATCTTAATGAGTTTGTATAGTGGTGCAAGACAAATGGAATGGAGCTAAATGTTTCAAAATGTGAGCTAATGATCTTTTCTTGCAAACGCTGTAAAACAACCTTTAATTAGATTATTGACGGAAATTTACTTTTGATGGTTGAAACAATAACGATATCGGCATAGTTCTTGACCCAGAACTATCCTACACTGACAATATTACTTTCATAGTAAATAAATCGCTTAGAATGTTAGGATTCCAAAAACGAAAACTCAAGATTTTAACTCAATCCATGCTCTGAAAATTCTTTATTGCAGTCTAGTCAGGTCACACTTAGAATATGCATCATCTATTTGGAATCCTCACTACGAAATACATACCACAAGAATAGAGGGTATACAGAGAAGATTCCTTCGCTACATTATTTATTAATTTTTCCATAATGAGTTAAGCTACGAAGTCCTGCACCAGATATTAAATTTGCAAACTTTATCAACCAGGAGAAGTCTCAGGGACCTATCTTTGCTTGTTAAATTAAGTACCTAACTCTATGGTGGATTGTGCCCACCTAACAAGCATGGTCAACCTTCATGTTCCCCATTTCAACACAAGAAATCGTCAAACTTTTCATATTCCTTTTTTCCGCACAAATTATGGCAAAAACTCATTTTTCCCACGAACTATGACTATTACCAATCAAAATACCAATCTAGAATTCTTTACTACACCTAAACAATTTAAACAACTTTCACAGGCTCGCTTAACTTAATTATCACAATGTTCAACATCATTATTCATAAGACAACCTATAATTATTAAATTAATATAAAAATTATTAAAATATTGAATACTTTAGTATATTGGTAAGTTATGTTTACAACTTTAGTATGTACCTAATTGTTTTCAATTAAGATTTTCTATTGTTACCTGTAAGTCAGTTTATAATATTGTCGCGGCTTTGGCTTGCCTGATAGAGATCTTGGGTTCGTCGTCCGTTTCGTTTATTCCAAAAAATCAAAGTCCAATTAACACAGCAATAATTTATTCCACTTAACAAAACACTCTGACACTAATTACTTTATTAACAAACTCAACAATTAAACTCTTTACAATCACTATTTAAATCGTATCACAGTCGAACTGAAACTAAACTTACAAACCAATGCTGGCCTTCTTATATATCCCGAAATCTCTTCCTGTAAAATCTAGAATACACACGATAATCTAATTTTCCAGATAAAAGTAGAATAATTCGCTAGATTCTAGTATTTTCACCATCGATTCTTGACAGCCTGGCGGACGATATCGTGACAATATTATTTTGTTAAGTTTAAAATAATGGGCTTCTGCCCGTCAAATAATAGCTATTTATATAACAAGTACATAAAGTAAGGCTTTATTGTACGAATAATTTTATGGCCGAGCGAGCTTGCGAGCGAGGCTATTAAATAATGAGTCAATAAAGCCTGTTTATGTAAGCGTTATATACATGATTTTATGTCCGATTGACCAATAAAGTGCTATTTATAGAACAGTTTTGCGTCAATAAAGTAGCACTTTATTGTACTAGTAAAATAAAGTGCTACTTTATTTTACTAGTAAAATAAAGTGCTACTTTATTGCCTACCTGGACTACCTGATAAGATGAAACAGGTCCTGACAACCTGCCAAAGTGAAACAGGTCCTGACAACCTGCCAAGGTGAAATAGGTATACCTACGCGAATTTTACTTTACTTTTTTCATTCAATTTTTTTAATTTTTAACAGAACCAGTCAGAATCGTACATAAAATCATGTATATAACGCTTACATAAACAGGCTTTATTGACTCATTATTTAATAGCCTCGCTCGCAAGCTCGCTCGGCCATAAAATTATTCGTACAATAAAGCCTTAGTTTATGTACTTGTTATATAAATAGCTATTATGTACGATTCTGACTGGTTTGTGTTAAAAATTAAAAAAACTGAATGAAAAAAGTAAAATTCGCGTAGGTATACCTGTTTCACCTTGGCAGGTTGTCAGGACCTGTTTCACTTTGGCAGGTTATCAGGACCTGTTTCACCTTATCAGGTTGTCCAGGTAGGCAATAAAGTAGCACTTTATTTTACTAGTAAAATAAAGTAGCACTTTTACTAGTACAATAAAGTGCTACTTTATTAACGCAAAACTATTCTATAAATAGCACTTTATTGGTCAATCGGACATAAATAAATAAATAAATGAACAAGGTCAAATTTAACTCACCTGCATAAAAATGATCCGGGCAAATTTTGACACGTCTGACTACAATGTCCATTTTCCTTTTCACATTCATCGATATCTTGACAACTGATATCGTCAGTCGATAAGATATACCCGGCATTACATCCACATTCATATCCACCTTCATAGTTGATGCAAAGTTGCTCACATTCGCTCAAGTTTGCATCGCATTCGTTGATGTCGACGCACTGATTCAGTTCTGCATTGAATTGGAAACCTTCTTCACAAGAACATCTAAAAATATATGTTTGATTTTTTTATATTTTTTTCTAATAAACTTACCTATAACTTCCGGGTGTGTTCACGCAGGCTTGTGGACAAATAGTGTTGTCCAGACATTCGTCTACATCGATACAGTGCCGTTCGTTTCTGTCCAATTGATATCCTGTAGGACAGCTGCACGTGAACGAACCCAAACTGTTTTGGCAGTGATGCGAACATGAGTTTTCTATGCGACATTCGTCTATGTCTTCACAAGTTCTTTCATCAGTGCTGAAATAAAGTGATAAGTTTATTCCAAAGGCAAATAATTATTCGAAAGTAAGATGAAACACATTAAAAATTAACATTTATAATAGATATAGTGATACAACTAAAGTAATAATCCTCTAGTGCAAGTCTTTCTTCAGCGCAACGCTCTACCAACTGGCCTACCAAGACCTGTTTCATTTCTATCTTGTTGGTCAAGTCTTTCATCAATTTTAAGTTGTTAGCGGTGGAGACCAACTTCAACCTTCAGCGGTTACCGTTGTTGATAACACATTCACAATTAATGGCTGTTGGAGTCCATTATCCGTTTTAACCATGCCGTTCTACGACTCACCTCAAAACATATCCTGATGGACAAGTGCACTGTAAAACCCCATTGATCTTGGTACTGTTATGAGAACACGAGAAATTGGCGCAATGCGTTGAGTTTTGCATTAAAAGTCCTTCGGGACACTGACATTCAAAGCTTCCTAAAAGCAATACAATTATATAAAATCAAATAACACCAACAATATTTTCACCTGGTGTATTCAAACAAATATGTGAACATGGCTTCTCTCTCAAACATTCGTCCTTATCAACACATTGCGTTTGATTGTCCAGTGCAATTTGAAATCCTTCCGGACATTGACATTGGTAGCCGCCGATAATGTTTTCGCAAGTGTGAGAGCAAGTATTTTCACCCGTTTCACATTCATCGATATCTGAGAAGTAATAATAAATATACATAATATAGGATTTTACACAAAATGTAAAATCTTACCAATGCAGTTGTCTTCAATCAATCGGAACCCATTTTTACAAACTTGGGGAACTTGATTCATCTCGGTGGTTTGATTTTCAGTTTCCTCATCATATTCTTCTTCGTATTCTTCTTCTTCGTTATCTGTATTTTCTTTATCAACTTCTTGAATCATTTCATTTTTAGATTCAACTGTAGAAGTATCAGGAATGGGTGAAGTTGTAGATATAGTTTCTTCTTGAACTATAGGTGTTGAAACTTGGACACTCGATTCTGTTGTGGATAAACCATTAATATTTGTAGTTTCTACTGGAATTTTGGAAATATCTTCAATAACTATATCGTCTTCGGTGGATCCAATGCCACTTCTTGCTGTTTCTTGATTTTCATCGTCTTCTTCCTCATAATCGTCATATTCTTCGTCATACTCTTCTTCTAACGATTTATTTGCGTTAATTTCATTGTGTGTTTGATCGTCACTTTTTATCATTGTTTCTTTATTTTCGATAATTGTAGAATGTTCATCAGCTAAAAACAAATTATCAGAAGGTAGCAAAAGCAATGCAATATTGGTATTTGAAAATATATACCTATGTAGTTACTAAATCCTAGATTATACGTTTATGTAAATATTGGCTTTTATTGGAAAAATGAGATTCAAAAATTACAAAATTTGGCTTTATGCTCATTTTCTGAGATAAATATGAAAACACTTACCACTTCTATCAATTGATATTGAAGATTCTGTACTAATCTGTACGTGTTTATCCTTAGATTCTAAATCAATTTCTTTTTCATCAATTGTAACTGAAGACTCCTTAGTAGAATCTGATTTTTCACCATCAAAATCTTCATTTTTATCGTAATCCTCTTCTTTGGGGTTTTCTCTATTATCAAGTTCTAAATCAAATTTTCTCTCATTTTCATTTGTTACTACTACAACATTATTGTCTTCCTCATTTGTACTTTCATTTTCAAGCTTTGGCTTTTCACTTTCTTCTTTTTCATCTTCATATTCTTCATCATACTCTTCTTCCTTGGTGTCTTTTTCAATACTTCTATTTTCACTATCCGGTGGTGGTGGTAAAATATTGTTACTTTCCTTGTTTGTGCTTGCAATAACTTTCTTCTTTTCTTTTTCTTCATATTCTTCATAGTTTTCGTCGTATTCTTCACCTAAAGATAATTAGTTTTAGAAAAAAATTTACAAGCTGAAATAGTGTTACCTTCGTAATCTTCATCGTCATAATCTTCACCAACGTATTCTTCAGTTTCAGCAGGCTGATCGGATTGATAATTTGAATCTTGTATGCAATGGTAAGATCCAATTGTATTGATACATCCATACGGACAAGAGGTTTTGATTTTAGAGTGCTGGCACTCGTTGATGTCTAGAAAATAAAATTTTGTTTAAAATTAACTCAGGAGAGATTTATACAAATGTTAATGCTTCAAATTGAAAACGAGTTTCACATATGGAACATGGAATTTTGAAGAAATTTCGGTTCTTGAAGGTCAATGATCAATGGGGTCAAGGTCAATTTTTTTTTGTTGTGAAGTAACTCTAGGTCTAAAAACAACTGTGAGCTGAATCCCCAGAATGTTATGCCATCAAAGATATGATTCGTTTAGATAAAGTAGAATATTTGAGCTGCAAATTCTCGCGAAACATCGGAAGGAATTTTCACATTTGAAACTCAAACTGAAGATCAATATCCTCATTTCAAGCGCATTTCCCGGCTCTTGATTCGAATCAAGTGCCGGGAATAATGACTCAAATAATTGATTCTCAAACCAATGTAGCAACTTTTGTATTACAATGTTGCAATTCAATTTCAATTAATCCAATCAGAAACAGATTTTAGGGATGAGTTATTATTAGATTTGCAGGAAACCGTACAATGTACCGTCACGATTTTGCGCAGAACCTAAAATTTGTGTGTAGAATCCGAAATTCCTATACAGACTACAGAGTGGTTTCGAGACTGTCCATGGGACGGATTTTGACTTGTTAGAACAGACCTTTTGAGTGGAAGTTTTGTTTATGCTTGAGGCAGAAATAAATTGAAAAGAACAATTTTATCCAGACTATACAGTGTGTCCGAAATTCGAGTCTCTACATGGGGATTTCGCTTATTATGAGAGATACAGGGTGGCTCAAATTAGGAAAGTTTTAGGGAATTTATTGCTCATTTATATCCTGTTGTTAAATTTGCTTCAAAGTTTTCTGATTCCTAGAAATCCGGGAAAAACTGAAAATAGCCAATTTTGTTTTTTGTCAATAATTCATAAACCGTTAACTTTAGACTTTTCTAACTTTAACATTATCAAGACACTTTTTTGAGACGGATATTTTCGTGATTTGAAAACATTCCGATCGTTGTTTGTTTTCAAGTTATTAACCAAAACTTTCTTATTTCTTATGGCGGCCATCTTCGATTTCAACAAAATAATATTCTGCGAAGAAAATTCTTTAAAATGATGTATTACAAGCTATGAAAACGTTTTGCAAGTCCTTCAAAATTACAGTTGGAACCGATATTTTGCTAAATTTGGCAACAATGCTCATAGTTATAAGAATAAAACCGAGAATAAAACTAAATAGGTATGATTTAATACCTAGAATCGGTATTTTTGAAGTCTTCTGGCAATTTTACTGGATAAAGCAAAAATAAGTAGGTAAGGTATTCCACATGTTTTTTTTTTGTAATGTAAACATGAATTACAGCTTTTCCTCCTTTCTTCTTCCGGTTTTACGCCTCGGGAAAAATTATACCAATTTGGATATTCCAGATACAGTTCTTGTTTTTGCGTGAAGGACGAATTTGCCCGAAAGAAGAAAGCAGGAAAAGCTGTACCTAATTCATGTTGTTTACATTACAAAAAAAAAAACATGTGGAATACCTTACCTACTTATTTTTTCTTTATCCAGTAGAATTGCCAGAAGACTTCAAAAATACCGATTCTAGGTATTAAATCATACCTATTTAGTTTTATTCTGGTTTTATTCTTATAACTATGAGCATTATTGCCAAATTTAGCAAAATATCGGTTCCAACTGTAATTTTGAAGGACTTGCAAAACGTTTTCATAGCTTGTAATACATCATTTTAAAGGATTTTTTTCGCAGAATATTATTTTTCTGCGATTGACAAGAAATGTCAGCAATTTTGACCGGTTGACAGGTCGCAAAACTCAGTATTCTGGTATTTCAATTATATTGTTATTATTATTATATTATATTCAAAAGTGTTGTGGTAAGCCGTAGAAGAGCATAAATTAAAATATATTCATGGAGAAGTATGTACTTACCTACACATTTGTGCTTATGAACCAATTTGAAACCGGGCAAACACGTGCATATTGCATTTCCATCTATGAATTCACACGAATGTTGGCACTTCAGTCCCAAGTCTTTGCAAATTTTCAAATTCTCGTTTGTTGAAGCCTCACTGGTTGCAGTTATACCTTTACCTAAAAATAATTTTTGATTTGTTACTTAATCATGAAAATATGCTCATGTTAAATGCCTTCAACAAATAAACATTTATTTATACAAATTAATCGTGTAGGTTTTTTTTTATTGATGCCTACAGTATTTAAAAGTTTTTTAAACAATAAAAGGCCATAAATTGTTTTGATTTATTGGAGAAAAAGAGTCCTACGCTGTGCGACATGAGAAAACTTTATTTGATTTGATATTCAAGTGAAAATGGATATTATGATAATTTTATTACTTGGTGAATTTTGTAATAGATGATGTATTAAATTTCATTTTCTATTGTACACAAAAATTATGGTTATGCCTTTGAAGACAAATAAAGCTAGGATAATATAACGAGAGTGGCTTCAGTTTTGAGTTGTTTAAAATTAGAAAGTGGATGTAGAATTTTTTAAAAGAATTCAGAAACTTGATTAAACTGATACCTACAAAATGAAGATTCTGCCCAGATCTATTTGATCCAATTATACATAGATGAAAAACAAACAATGAAATTTCAAAAAACGCTCAAAAATTGATAAGGCAAGAGGCTAACGAAAAAAGAAGGAAGGTGAAAGTAGAGCCTGCATAGTAATCATTAAGACATATTAATAGGGATATGTTCACTATTTTTCATTTGTAATAAAAAGTGGTGGTTTTAGGTCCACAAAACACGTATTAAGCGTTAAAACATCTAGAAACTCTTTATTTTTTCTGATAAATCGAAAACAAAAAAACGAAATTAGCGAGGCTAGCAAAACGACCCCCTGTGGTGAGAGTACCACTTGTGACGTTACTGTGCGGAGCGAAAAATCAGCTGGCGCGTTGGCGAGATTTGTTTACAAGTTTACATTGGATTTATTGTGTTGCTGACTGTTGTTTTATCCCAAGAAGCTTCATTCACTCCAATTATCTGTGTTTCTGTAATGATGGGAGACTCAAACAAAGTTGAACCGAGTCGAAAAGAGTGGTATCTACGTACGTGTTTTTCTACGAGGTGCGAAAATGTGCTACTTTTCGCACGCACATCGTTGCGTGAAGACGCGTTTTTCACACGCTCATAGAAAAAATGGGCCTGACACGAGCATAAAGTATGTTTTCCGCACTTGCGGCTTGCACGAATTCCGCTGACTCGTCGTTCGTGCAAATGCCGTTGCGTGCAAGAAAGTAGTGACCAAACATTCTGATACCATAGTAGATAACGAAATAAACAAAAAAATAGTAGATAACGTCCACAGTTGGCAAATTATGTGAATCGGCCTTTTGAAAACCTTCCTTCATTTTAGCCATAGTACCTTTTCTACCTTAATTTCGATAAACCCTATAACACAGAGATCGACATGAAGGAGATAGCAGCAATATCAAAATACTTGTTAAACGTTAAACAGACTCTCTCGTTAAATTAAAACCGAACCATAATAATAATAACAATAATATTAATATCAATATTCTTTATGTCCGATTGACCAATAAAGTGCTATTTATAGAACAGTTTTGCGTCAATAAAGTAGCACTTTATTGTACTAGTAAAATAAAGTGCTACTTTATTTTACTAGTAAAATAAAGTGCTACTTTATTGCTTACCTGGACTGCCTGACAAGGTGAAACAGGTCCTGACAACCTGCCAAGGTGAAACAGGTATACCTATGCGAATTTCACTTTTTTCATTAAATTTTTTCAATTTTCAACAAAAACCAGTCGTAATCGTACATAAAATCATGTTGTATATAACGCTTACATAATAGTTATTAATGATACAAGTTCGATATGAACGCCATAATGAAACGCGTGTAACGTTAAACCACGAGGCGTCAGCCGAGTGGTTTAGTTACACAAGTTTCATTAATAAAGTTCATATCGAACGTGTATCATTCAAAATTTAATCTACAATGGTCCAAATCAGAGATAAATACTATATAAACTGTCGAGAATGGAATCTCGGTGTAAATTTTGTTGTCAACAAAATTGAGCCAAGCCAGCGCCATCTACCACAACGGAAAATCACTATTTACTGGTTTTGCATCGATGCTACAGACACCTACTTTACATAGGACTTTTTATGATAGTTGGCGCCCCGTTCGCATTACTTTCGGTATGTTCAAATTCGTTTATTCTAGACTTTGGGGCATTAGTGTTTGCTTAACCTTCCAGCGAGCGCGCTGTCATAAAATTTACGACAAATGCGCATTATCGCTTCCCCCACTTTTGCCACTTAGTCGCACGCATCGAGCTTTGAGCTATTCTAGGGTCAGTGTCTCTCTAAACCACAGACGTTATTGGGTGTTCTAAGAAGTTTTTGTAACTTAGTGATATTTGGAAGTTTCCGTAGAGCGTACATTTCACGACATGCGCCTTAGTGTAAGTAGGTATATTACGTATCCTACTTTTTTCTATTTTTTTTTTTCTCGTTTATGTCGTTTCTTTTATAGCTAAATATATGTTTTTCTTTTACACATGTTCCATTATAGCTCGTAGGCCGCTTACACAAAAGGAAGTAGGAGAAGTTGATGAAGATTTATATGATGAGCCAGAGCAAGATGGTGATACTTACATTCCATGTGAGAGTTGTTTTATTCAAGAAAGTCAAATATATGTTTTCAAAAGTGCTGTCATTGTCGTTTTCAATAACCTTTTATCAATTCCCCAGTATTTATGAAAAGAAAACACCTCGAAAACACCATTTACATGGAGAAAAAATGATGACGTAAAATTTACGACAAGCGCCGGCTCAAGTGAAATGACACAGCGCGCCCGCTGGAAGGTTAAATTAATTGATAATTTGTTAATTAGATCAAAAGACTGTTTCTTTATCGATGGTTAAGGGATCCTTAACATATTTATTCAAAGTTCTGATTGATGTTTAATTGAACCTGTCATTTATCTAATCAACAAAGATAATAGATCTTCCAATCTATAAAGTTTGAAGTTCTTCTTGAAACACACAAAAATCACTTAAGAACACTTGACAACACAAAGAAAGATGAAATGCAAGACCGGCGAACAAAAAACATTATGAATTATTAGTTATGATCAAATGAATATTTTGGCATATTGTCATATGTTGACATGTCAGTTATCGACATCGGACGTGTTCTTGATGTGCTGGTATTTTCTAATTCTGACAATTCTGTGGTTGTTAGCGACATCTAGAAAAACGGAAAAGAGTTATTATGTGGTTTATAACTGGCAGTGAGAGATCGCAGGGCCAAATGAGTCCACTAAACAGCCCCTATCTCACAGTCTAAAAGGAATACAATGGTCCAAATAGATTTGATTTGCCTTGAAATAGCAAAAACTTTTCAAATTAAAATTTGAAATTTAGCAGGTGCCCGTACTAGTCGAGAAACTGCTTGTTGGTTTTTAGAATTTTGACTTTGGCAGCTTCAATATTGAAGTCCATTTTTGTCCCATAAATTCAATTTTATAGTGGAAAATAATATTATTATTGGTGAATCTGAGTTCGAAAGTGTCTCTTCGAATATAGAGACAGCATTATTGAAAAGGTTCTTCTGGCAACTAACTTTCTTTTTGTATATTTTTCATTTCAAAATTTGGGTGTTATTATGAATTCTTAAACGCACTAGTGCTATTATGAAGGACCTAATGACATTCAAATGACAATGCTAAATGTGTCATAATGACACCGACGTAGATTAACAGGCTTTATTGACTCATTATTTAATAGCTTCGCTCGCAAGCTCGCTCGGCCATAAAATTATTCGTACAATAAAGCCTTACTTTATGTACTTATTATATAAATAGCTATTTTCTACTGACATTTCATAATACGCTATTAAACGATTAAAATCTGTATCATAATGAACTTCATTACGATACAGATTTTCATTATAATACTCATTTTTAATATTATACAATGTTGATAGATGGCAGCACTAGTTAAGATATTAAACATTTTAAACGGTGATTTTGCGTAAAACAATTATTTTGATAACTATAAAAAAGACTCCGAATTGTTTAAAAGTTACCTTAAGTTTGGGACAAAGAATAATTATTATGGAAATCATGAATGATAAGGAAGAATTTTTACTTTCTTCATTATTATGCATTGTCAATAGATGGCGCCACCAGTTAAAAAAAATTGATTTTTTTTTTTTGAATGTTGGCAGCACTGTTTAAGCTTTTCCATGGTAATTTAGCGAAAAACAATAATTTTATAAAAAAAATACTTCAAATTGTTATTAAAAGTTAATACCTTAAGTTTGGGAGAAGGCATTATTATGGAAATATTGAGCGATAACGAAGAATTTTCACTAACACCTCCAGAAATTACAGAAAGGGCGATAAATGCAGGTAATAATATACTACCGGATAAGTCCAAGAAAATTTACGAAAAATTATATGGACAATTTATTGATTGGAAACACCAAAAACACATCATCCTTCTCAGAAAATGTTTGATAGTATATTTTGAAGAATTACAACAAAAAATGAAACTTTCAACTGTATGGATTACTCAATTATGAAATCTCTATTCAAAGTTAAGCATAATGTTGACATATCTAAATATCATAAGTTTTATCAATGGCAGTAGAAAAAATAGTGTATGCAACTCTCATGTAATGGCCATTAATACACGAGCATGTTGTAGGATACGAAACGAGCCGTAGGCAAGTTTCGTATATAACATGCATTACATGATCATTGCATAATATACTAATTTTCTACTGACGTTTCATAATACGCCTAAAATCTGTTTCATAATGAACTTCATTATGATACAGATTTTCCAGCCACTGGAATCGAGTATTTTAAACATGAACCATGTTTATATAAAAATAACAGATTTGCTTTGGAATTTTGGATTGTTTCTATTAGTATTTACCAGAAGAAACAACAAAAAATTAATAAATCGGGTGCGGAATTTATGCCCAAATGACGTCTAGATCTTAATTTTTGAAATTGTCAAGTTGTCAACAATTGTCACCAGTTGAGAAGTTTACTATTCTTATAAAATAAATATGTTTTTCGTTTA